CACTGCACTCCAGTCTGGGTGACAGAGTGAGACTCCAACTCAAAAAAAAAAAAAGTCTAAGAATAGAAGAAACGAATATCCAAATCAGGAAAATTTAATAACGACACCACTCCTTATAAAGAGTCCATTTGCCTAGATAGTTAGTTGAAAGATATCTACATTTTCAAAACCACCTCCATTTTATAGCCACATTTTATTATCTGACTAATGACATAATAATATTGAATATCCACACTGTCAGACCAGTTATGTCTCTTTTCTAGTAAATAAATCTTTAGTCCTAAAATAAAAAAAATACACATAATTACACATTAAAAAGTGTCTAAGTTAAAAATATCTATGTCAATGTTTAAATCTGAACTCTAATGAAGTAGTTAGATGCTTTCACCTATTTGTAAAATATAAATCTCAATTTAAAAGACTGAAAAGATCAGAAGCCGTTCCACAGTAGGTCAGGGGAAATGGAGGCATGTAGACACAGGGGAGAAAATAATAAAAACTAGGGTGATCAATTGACCAGATTTATGTATACATAAGAGAAAAAGAAAAAAGGAAATAATAGGCAGAGACAACTTATGGATTTCAAAGTGGAAAAGTAAGAGCTTGCCAGTCTGGTAAATGAGCTTGGCCCTCCAATCCTTCCCACTTCCGGTCTCTGGTACATTTCAAGTCCCAAGTTCACCTCTCTCCCGGCTGGTTGCCCAAACTTCCATGAACAGTTCCTCTCAACTCTCCTCAAGTTACCCAGCCTGAGTGTGCCATTTATTTCTTTATTTTTTACTGGGGCACTCAATAATATAGTAATTGGTATTCAAAATGGCTCCACGAGAGAAATCCTCAAAACAGGAGTGGGTTGCTTCTCTATTTAAGGAGCACCAGGAAAATCTCCCTGACTGGGGAAAATGAGGCACAGGAAATACGTGCCATGGGGTGATATCTGGCTTATTTCAGCTGTCCTTGGTTGTGGCAAGAGATGCAGGGCAAAGGGCTGGTGGACAGACGTCTGTGGCTTGGATCACTAAGTCAACTAGTGTGATTACTGTGGTCGTGGAGTTAGTCAGCTGGTGCCCTGGTTTTCCTAGTGTCGCGTCTACACGGTCATGCGTGGTTTCTCGACTCACAAATGGTGTCTTGGAAAATAATTCATGTATGGAGTGCTCCTCACATGACTTCTTGTGAGTGTGTCATCTATTAATGCTGGTTGGAACCCTGTGAGGAAAGGTTTCATCTGTCATTTGATGAGAGAAAATAAATCATACTCATTTATTTATTTATTTGAGTTGGAGTCTCACTCTGTGGCCCAGGCTGGAGTGCAGGGGCATGCTCCCGGCCACCGCAGCCTCGACCTGCTGGGCTCCGGCGATCCTTCCCCTCAGCCTTCCAAGTAGCTGGAACTACAAGCATGTGCCACCACACCCAGTCAGTTTTTTGATTTACTGTAGAGATGAGGTTTCACCAAGTTGCCCAGGCTGGTCTCGAACCCGTGGGCTCAGGCAATCCTCTCACCTCGGCCTCCCGAAGTGCTGGGATTATAGGCGTGAGCCATCGTGCCCGGCCTAAGTCATACTCTTTGAAATGGCATCCAAATGAAGAGCTGTCTTTGTCTGGGCTGCTATAATGAAATCCACAGACTTGGTGGCTTATAAACAACAGAAATGTGTTATTCAAAGTCCTGGAGGCTGGAAGTCCATGGCCAGGGTGCCAGCAGTGTTTCGTTTATTAACTAAACTCTTCCGGGTTGCAGACCCGCTGTCTTCTCATTTTGTCTCTATATGGGGGAAAAAGAGTAAGTAAGCAGTGCTTTTGATAAGGGCACTCATCCCATTCAGAGGGTGCCCCTTTCATCATCTCATTGCTTCCCAAGGACTCTAACTCCTGATATTGTTGTACATTGGGGGTTAGGATGTCAACATAGGACTTTTGAGGGGACACAAATATTCGGTCTACTGCAAGAGCAATGTATTTTCAAATAATTTCTTATAGGCTATTCTCACCTAACTGCTGCAGAAATAGAAACTTGAAAATTCTCTGTCCAGATAATGTCTATGATTAAATCCCATAATAATCTCATCACTTGTATTGGGATTGATTTTATCTTGTGTCTTTATAAGAACTCATCTGTTTTTCAAATATATATGTTATGTCATACTACTTCAATCTGTAATATTTAATTTTTTATTGTTTGAATGAACAGGTAACAGTGTCAACTAGTAAACAAAACATTTTTAGACTGTTTCCTCCCGACGGCCATCACCCTACTTTCTTACTTAGGGTGAGACATTCAAACTTTCTTCACTGTCTTTGCATCATCTAGAGATGACTTTTAATTGTATTGGTAGCACTGAACAGCACTCCATGATGTGTGGAGACTTCTGCTAAGATACTTGGTGAACCACGCGGTCAAAGAAGAATACAATGAATTTCTAAAGTACTTCATGCTACTTTTACAAAGCTAGCTGTACACCCACACTGCTAAATATCGCTGGTGTTCCATCCATTTTTCTAAAGAACAGGCATTAGAAAAATACTTTTTTTCTATGAATTGTAAGGGTTTCAAGTATCTAATTTTTTTTACATTAAAAAATTTATTATAAAGATGTGGGGTACAATTCAGAGTTAGGTATATAAACATTGATCATGCAGATACCCTTGTCGATGAGGTATGCCCCTCCCTCCCCTGGCAGTTTCCCTCAACTGCCAATCCCAACCCCCCCCCCCTGA